TCACTTCTAATTCAACTCTTCCGCCAGAACTCTTATTATCATTAATCTTTTTCATTAATTCGGTAATTACGTCATAAAGACTATATTCTGTTTTCGGTTTTGTAAATAATGAGTCAAAATTTCTTTTCATCATTACATCGCTGACATTAATGATATCACCAATTCCTTTTTCATTTATTCTCTTCATTAATTCTGCAATAATGACGAATATATAATCTGTTAATTTATTCTCTTCATCGAGGGTTATAGAATGTTTTGAAATTGAATCATTAACTCCTCTAAATAAATCAATAACTTCAGGATACACGTTTTTAATGTCTTGAATAACCCGACCAGTATCCTCGCCACTATGTGGCTCTGAGCCCGTTGGGCTCTGTTGTTCATGTTCTTCGTTCCCGTCGTTACGTGGTTTTATATCTCTAACCATCATCAACGCAGCCATAACCGGAGGGTTTGTTGCTACCTGTTCGAAAATCCGTCCGTTATGTATGGTATATCTAAATAATTTCTTTGTGTTTGTTAAAACATTTGAAACAAGTCTTTTAAAACCATCTACAAAATTTCCTGTTTCACCTAATGTTCTTGCAGCATTTACAAGCTCACCCATTCCCGCTTTTGACCCCAAAAACGTCCATATTGCATTTATTTCACTCTGTATAGTTGTCCATTCAGCGAAACTAACACCCGCATTCGCTAAGCTGAAAATGAAATTCAGTGGATCGAACTTAATTCCACCTTCTTTTTCAATTTCAACGAACTCACTAACATGAGATTTTAAGTATTCTTTCGTTAAAATTGTTTTCCCCGATGTTATGTCATTAACGAAACTATCACCGTCAAAAGTTAACGAATTCAATTTCGTCGTTGATGCTTTTATTTCATACACCGCTTTATCGATAGTTTTTGGCTCACCTTCTTTAGAAGCATATGAAACATTAATGAATGAATTATATGTATTCGTGAATGAGTTAAAATCAATGATTTTCATTAATGACGCCTTTAATGATTCATTAACTGTTGAATCCCTTAAAACAATTAATGAACTGTCATGGGCTTCGCCCTGGTCGCTTCGGTCTGAAAGACCTTCAGGACTCAAAGAGTCCGTTTGCGACTTTATGAAAGGTACACTGCAAACCGTCGAGTTTGGATCAAATGCTGTAGTTGGTGCAGGAATATTAATGATATAAGTCATTAAATCATTAAGTGACGTAAATAATGTTGTCGTTTTTGATTTAATTTCTTTAGCATCTGTTATATATGGTAATTTTATTTCTGTAGTTTCTGAATTAAAGATATTCGCTAAAATGTTTTGTAAACTGTTTTGAACAGCTGTGTAAACCGTTGAATTCGGAACTCTTACGATTTCACCATCCTTAATAAAAGGCATTGTACATGACGTAGTGCTTGGGTCAAATCTTTCGGGATTATAATTCAACATATATTCTAACGCTTCATATACAGACCTATAAACAGTTGTGTCGTTCTTCATGACAACTTCACCATTTACAATGAATGGCATAGTGCATGGAGTTAAAATAGGGTCAAACTTTTCATAGTCCTTCCATGTTATGTATTTCTCGGTATTTCCATCAGAAATAACAATATATTTGTCAGTAAGTGTGAGAGAGTATTGACCAAAATATAAACGTTTAGCTCTGTCAGCTTCATACGCATATGCAGCAATACTCATATTTTAATGAGAATAAAATGTTGTTCTATTTGCAAAGTACAGACCCAAACGAATACGGGACAGTAAAGCTACAAACAAACTTAGGTCTTCAGAATGAAGCGCTTGCTTTCAGAGTTGTTGACTTCAATACTATCGCTTCATTCGTTATAACAGATGAAACAGATTTCATGGAGCTTGAAATAGATGGAAAGAAGCACGAAATAAGATTTCACAATAATGTAGAATATAAGATGGAAACATTAGCTGGAGTGTTAAATGCGCTCATAAATACTACAATAAACAAGGAGAACGAAGAAAACTTAATGAATGTTAAACTTATTGCAGGAGTTTTGAAGTTCAGTTATGCGAAGGAGTTTAAGATAACACGAATGAGTCATAGAGTTCAATTGCTTCTGGGAGCATACCATATGACATGTCCTTTGAAAAGTGTTGACAAAACGATTGAGATGAAATCTGTTCCATACGTATGTTATGGTAATTGTTTATACGTTGAGTCAAAAATAGCTAATGTCACAGGTATTTCAGGAGTTAATAGTAAAGGTTCAGTAGAATATAAATCCTTCTGTTATGCAGTCAATTCAATGTTCATTCCAAACGTTCCTGTCATAGTAACTCATTTAGGTAAATGGGTTCGCATTAGTCCTCATAATTTGAAAGACATGCAATTCAGACTTGTTGACTTTCAAGGAGAGCCTGTAGAACTGAAGGCACCAGTGCGAATGACTGTTGAAGTTGACTTTTTAGAAAATATTAAATGCAACAGCTTACAAGAGAACTCAGAGCTAAAAATATAAAGTATGAATGTTATGTATTAGGTCATGAACTTTGGTTATTGCTGTTTGATGAAACAAATGAGTTAGTTATGTCAGTCAAGAGAACAGAAAAAGGCGTCAAAGGCGCCGAGCGCAAAGCGCTATATTGTGTTAGTGAAAACTGCACCAAGTCAATAAGATTAGGTTTGCATTATGAAGATGAGTTCGATACTGTTGAAGAAGTTTTGGATAGATATTACAAATTGCTTTAATTTACTAAAACATATTTCAAACAAAGCTTATATTCTGTTGAAAGTTTTGTATACTCGTTCGAATATTTATACTTAAACTCAACTCCTGTAGTTCCTGGTATTTCAATGATGCGGATGTTACCTATTTTCATGAATGGTGGCGTTTGACCACAGCATTCGATTTCAGGGTCGAGATAGTCAATGACACATTGTTTCCCTGTTATTCGTGATATAACATTTTCAAGGTCCTCCTTTGTTAGAATTATTTGGTTCTTGCTTATAAGATTTGTCAAAAGCTTCTTATCGTCTTTGAGTAAAATTGTTTGGTATAACTGAAGAAGGTAATGGTCTACGTTATCTGAAGGATTTGTTTGAACATTTGTGTAAGGGTTGTCGTTGGCTTCTCTTGAAAGAATTTGGTCCAGTGGTGGATACTCTAACTTAACATCTGATGTAGCGTTAGCGTTTGAAGCTGAGTTTAAATTCACGGATTTCAGTTCTGGTTCTTTTTCTTTCAAACACTCTGAACTATAGTTCTTTATGACAATATTGTTTGTCGTTCGTGAGTCAACATTTGATGTTGGTTCAATTGGAACATTAACGGCACCAGCTAAGATGGATTTGCTTCTCATTTCATATAGAATAAAAACCTTTTATATGTATGAAATGAACAATATACTCGACAAGGGTTTGAATGTAAAGCTAACGAATGAAAATATTGTTGAATTCACTGAGACAGGAGCTGTGTATAAAGATGTAGAACTACTGAACAAAAGAGCTAAGGGAAGAAGCAGGAACATGAACAAAGGGTGGAAGCCTATAAAAATTTATGTCAATGATGGCTCAGGAGGTTCAAACATAAAGTATGCAGAAAGTTATAGAGTTTATGCTCTCAAAGGTGAAAAGCCTTCATTTAAGAACAGCTATTCTAACATATCCTCAAAAGTTAACGGATGGGGAAGTGGATGATATGAATGACAGCAAAAATATTAACAGAAATGGCGACAGAGATGCATGGAATTTGTTTACCATCAGTCAATTGAAGGTTAAACTTTAAAACAATGTTGGTCGTTCCCATGGAATATTTTTGACTTTAATGGTATTAGTCATGATATGAATCTCAAGGTATGAACGAGGAGAGATGAGAGACTTATATGCTTCCCAAATTTCTTCAAAAGGTAATGTTATACCTGACTGTTTCCAAATGAGTTCAATATCATAACGTGAGAAACCTTGAAAGATAACGAAGTCAGTTATGAGACGTTTTATGTTTAAAGCTAAAAACCTCCATGTTTGCATAAGTATTGCTACAGTTAAGTGGTAATGTCTGACTTTAGTAATGATGTTAGCTAATGGTGAGTCAGGCTTTGACACTAAACCTTTTCCGGCGAAGTCGTCGCAAACGAGCAGAGTGTTTGAAGGATATTTTTTGAAGGGGTATTTTGAAAGTTTTGACAGAATGTAGTTTGTAAGTCGTTTCATATCGTAAACTCCTGAGTACTGACGTAAGTGGTGTTTGTCAATAATTCTTTCCATCTCCTCAGAAGTCTTTTGCATTCCTGACTGTATAAATTCAACGATGGCATAATATTTCCTCTTACGTCGAATGTAACGTTGAAGAAATTCAATGAGTTCACTGTCTGGAACTTTAACGACAGAGGCTTGAACTTTTGACATAAATGTTTTCGCTGTTGAGTCCATAGAGTCTGAAGTTGCTGATATAATGATTTGGTCATAATAGAGTCTTCCTAAACGCTCTGTTATGAGTATATGACGAATGAGGTTAAATGTCTTACCTGAACCCATCTTTCCACAATAGAAATACACACCATTGAACAGAACCAAATAGCCTTACTGAAAGGAAGAATGAGAGAAGAGTTAAGTAATTGTTCGTGTCTGTAGTTTCATTCATGTCTTCATCTACGTCATGTATTAAATGCTTCATTTTATCTCCATTAAAAATGCAAGTCAAGAAATATTCAGAACATAGCACCGAGTCTAACTGACAAGAGTATAAAGATATACTATGAACACGTTATGATGAAACCAACCAAAATTCAAGAAAAGTCAGTATACTTATGAATATCCAAGACACTGGGTAGAGTATGTAGGAGGTGAGAAAGCTATTGAAATAAGACAAGTTAAAGTATTCCAGCAGGAAGGACAATATTATTGAAGAACTTTAATGTTTTGAGGTATAATGATGAAACAAAGAAGCAAGATAGTTTTCCGTTGCTGTGTATGTGAACCTAGACACAGGAGATGACATGAAAGTTTTTAAACACAAAGCTTCAAACGGTAGTGAGAGAACAACTGACTGCGGAAGGGCATCCATTACCTTCAGAAGTTACCATAGCATATAATTTTGAAACAAACTCAATAGATTTTAAAGTCATCTCTGCAAAGAAGTCAGGTTTTACATTTAATGAAGCAGATGTATATTCGAATGAAAACTTCAAAGCTATTGCATGGTTAGATAATGACGATTGCTTTAAGAAAATATTTAAATTCAGTGACTCAACGATGTCAATAGATGACCTTCGTGGAATGTTACCATCGACGTTTACAGTTGAAGGTTCAGCAGGATTGCTTACAAGATTGTCAATTGGTGGTATTTGGTCTCGTGAGAACATTGTTATAAAATCCAGTATAAGTGAATTTGCTGAAGAATCTATATTATGTCTTTCAAACTACATGTATTCGCCACCGAAGCATTATAGTATAACAAACTTTGTCAGTAAGTTTAACATAAGACTTGTCGAACCTTCTTCAATGAAAGATGTTGTGCTACCTAAAGATGGAAAGGATGGACTCATTATTGAGATGATTTTAATAGCATATTAAATGAGCTTGTTCTTGAAGGTCATTCATGATGAAATAACTGTTGTAGAAGATGTTAGCAATTGTTCAGACATTTTGAAGCGATAGATGATATAAGAAAGAAGTTTATGAAGCCGCAACGCGGCGAGGACGAAGTCCATGAGAATGTTTATGTTTCATTGACTTTCTCCAGTAACGAGAACTTTTATGAGATAATATTGAAGAGAGATGATTTTAATATGGTGTAAATGGTAGCTTGGGCAGCTTTAGGCGCAATGGGAACAAAAGCATTAGCATTTGGAGCAAAAGCACTTGGGGCTTATGACGCAGTAAATAAAATGAGTGGAGGAAGGGTTTCAAAGACATTAGATGCAAATAAAGGAAAGATTGGAGGCTGGGTTGCAAAGAAGTTAAGATTAAATAAAATAGGACTCATAAATAAAGCATCCAATTTGGTTGCGACTGAGTCAGAAAATGCTTTAGGAAAGGACGATGAGTTTGCAAAACACGCAAAAGACTTTAATGACCAGATGAAAGGTGAAACAATGCATTTAAATAGAGTCGATGGAACTAAAGAAAATGTTTCTTCTCCACCAGTAGTTCTTCCGTATGGTCCCTATGGAATGTATGGAAACCCTTACGAAAGACCATTTGACCCATTGACTGGTGGAAGTAACTGGTATCATTACGGACGAAGAAGAAAGACAGTCAAGCTGGAGACAGACGTGAAGAAAGCAACTAAAAAGAAACCAAGGAAGAGAGTTATAAAGTAATGAATTCAACAGGTTAGAAAAGAGGTTAGAAAACGTGTTAGATCTAACATTCTACCCTAAATTTATTTTTGTGCTATGTTTTCATACGTGTGCGGGTGGTGATATCATTAATTTTTTATTTTATTTTTAAGTTTACTGAAATTTTTTATTTGGATGTAAATGACAGAACAAAAGCAACTCATACAAATCAAAACATATAACAAACATACATTTAAACATTTATTCTTCCTTCCTGAGCATAACATGTTCTTTCAAATACATCCGAGACCAGTTGACTTTTCATTGACTGTTTATAAAGATAGAAATAGTTATATCATTAAACCATACGATGACGAAGGTAAGTTATGTAAATTGTACGTTAAGAAGTTAGAGAAAGTTTATGGCTTCAAGTATGACTACAATAGGGTTAACACTGATGATGAAGATATTGAGGAAAATTTATGAGAACATTAGTGAAGTTGTTAGTGAGAACGATAGTGAGAACGTTTATTTTTACATTAGTGAGTTCGTTAGTGAAGTGAAGTGGTTGGCGGCTTTGTAAATATTTAAGGTTAAGTTAGTGTTGTCGTTTGTGTTGTAAAATACACGTTAACGGTTTTGTAAAGTGTCAAATTCACAAGTATTGGGTAAAGTGGAACGCAGTGCCACCATACCCAAGACTTGTATACTAACTGTTTTGACATAATATTGTATTATAAACTTTCCTTTAGTAATATCTGTAAGTTTTGAAGTTATATTTTTGTCTGCTTCAAGAACTTTCACCATTTCAGTTATACCAACTTTCTTTGCTTTATGAAAATATTTTGGTTCAGCAAAGACTGCTATTCTATAACATTTTCCATTGTTTGTGTAAAGAACTATTCTGTCAATGTATTTGTATTGTTTGTGAGTATAAACTTTGTTTTGCTTCAATTCAAAGAGATATCCGAATACGTCCATCTTTTTATTCTAAGTAAAATGTCATTTCCGAAAAATAGAAGCGTAAGTGTTTCAAAAGGTTTAATGGCGGTGGCAGATGTGAAGTTAAATTCACCAACTCAAACAAACAGTCAAAGTGTTATTGTCAATGTCAAAGACAGAGATGTTGAAGTGGGGAAACCATACGAAGACGAAGATGGTATAACAATTGTTCCTGTAAAAGAACAACCAACATATCCTGAAGTTAACAGAGACTTAAGTTCTGTTGCAGATATTCGAAACGACTACCAACAACTGAAAGACAAACTTCAAACTCAGGAGAAGATTTGTCAAGCTTTAAGTATAATGTTAAACTTGGTCGAACACAACCTGTAAAAGTGAACTCATATGTCATTGCACCTCATGAAGTTTTGAAAGAACTATTGAAACTTTTGACAGAGGCAGACGATATAAACATCAAAGAAATAGAACCCGACATTAGTTGCTGTGGTGTTTCATATAATGTCATTGACAAGATATACGTTATGAAAGGAGGTGAAACGTTGAACTTAAAATATAGTTTCCCAGACGTTATAAAAATATTTGACGACCACAACATTTCATTAAAATTTATTTGCTAAGTAAATGGCAGAAGACATAATGGTTTATACTATTACGACTAAAAACCCTGAGTCATATAATTCTATAAACAACAAACTTACAAAGTCCTCAAGGACGGTATTGTAAACTAACCTTAAACACAATGACGACTAAAGCCTGTTTTGCTCTTTTGACACCAGAAGACTTTATTGTTGTGAATGGTAAAAAATACTCCTTTGAAGATACTTACTCAGATATACCACCAACAGGTTTTGTTGACTTATTTAATACTTTAAGTACGGGTGTAACATGTGCTGCAACTAGAGCAGGTTTCATTATGTTTGGATGTCCGAATGAGTTTACTATAAACGATATGAGCTATAATACAAAACTTATTTCTGGTTTTTACTACCAACAGTTTCCTATAACAGGAAAAGGTGTCATACAAGGAATGTCTATTCCATTGACATTAAGCACACCAATCTTATATATTGTTTCAAACTTAGGTTCAAAGTGCTATTCGAATGTCGACAGAAACTATTATGACCAAAAGATACTTATGCGTATAAACAATACTTTCTCTGCTGGTTTGCCTATTGTTATTCGAATGCAGAATTTTCAACCTTAGTGAACTCAAACACTTTGGCAAGTATAACGTTGACATTAGTTGACGCAAACTTTGTTCCTGTAAAACTTTTATGTCCTATGTATTTGTCAATGACGGCAGAAAGTTTCGAATTGGAAGATGCAACTGGTGAAAGTATTGTATTACAAGAACAACTTCAACAACAAATAGCTCAAGAACAACAAATGCAACAAATGGAACAACAAAGTCAAGAATAAAAAATAATATTTTTTTTATTTTTATAAAAATGTACAGAATAGATGTTTCAGATTTTTATGACTTCCAAGCATTCAGAAATATGTGTCCATTTAGAGACTATAACAAAGCAGTCGAGAATTTGAAACGTTTAGTCATTTATGTTGACTCTGCCCCAGAATGTTATGTCATGAAAGAATGGGATGTTGTCTTTAACAAACCAAGAGCAACAATAGTGTCTGAACAAGAATGTAGACAGAAACTTAAGAAAATAAAAGTCGTACAAGTTGGCATGAAGATGTTAGATGCTTGGGATATCTTATTGTCAAAGTTAGAAGATTTTTCAGTTCGAGGTATAAAGTTCTATACACCTTCTCCAAACTTCTATTCTATCTTCACTGGATATAAATATGAACAAGTAGAATGGAAAGAAAATATTATAGAAGCTTGGTTAGACCATGTCAAAGAAATTATATGCAATGGAAACGAAAAGGTTTATGAGTATATCTTATGTTGGTTTGCAAACATCTTACAACATCCAAGTGCTAAAAATGAAACTGCTCTCATTATAATTGGAAAAACAAGGAACTGGTAAGAACACATTCTTTACAGATATTTTGTGCAAACTGTTAGAAGGTTATTCGAATCCGAATATGACAAACTTAGAAAACATCTGTGGCAAGTTTAACTCCTCAATAGAGAATATGAAACTTATAGTTTGCAATGAACTTCAAAGTATAGATACAACAAAGTTTTGAACTCAGATGCTTTGAAGAGTCTTATAACAGATAAAGTTGGAGTTGTTGAAAGAAAGTATAAAGACCAAAGAGTTTGTGAAAATGTTGCAAACTTCATTATGGTTTCAAACAATGCTGTTCCGATGAAGTTAGAAAGTTCTGACAGAAGATATGTAGTTGTCAGAACGTCAGATTCTCATATGCAAGATACAGAATATTTTGACGACTTAGCAGAAACTTTGACATCTGACTTTTACAACCACTTGTTCTCATATTTTATGACATTAGATATTTCTAAGTTCAATCCAAGACAAATTCCACATACCGAAGAGAGACAAACATTGTTAGAAGCAAACAAGAGTGTATATGAACTGTTCATAGATGAAACTGACTTTGTGTCATTAGATGAAAGGTCATTGTACGATTCGTATAAACAATATTGTCAAGAATATGGTTATATGACAGCGTCTAAACGAACATTCTTGGCAAATGTCAAAAGTCTTTTAGATGTTCAGAATGGTGTATATACAAAGAAAATTTTTTCTGAGTAAATTTTAAAAAAAAATTTTTTTATCCGATAGAAAAGATGACAAAATTCATCTCAGTAAACAAGTACATGTCAGGACTTAAAGAAGAACTAGACCCATTCACATATTTGAATGTTTACTTCTACCATTTTGAAAAGTCTTCATTCAGCAAAGTTTGGAACATCGAACCAGTTAAGTTTGCTATTGTGACTAAAAATGGTGCGAAATTTGAAGACTTAGACATAGAAGGTTTGTTAACAGTCAAAGAAAGTTTTGACAGAAGGTTCTCAAACCTTAAAGAAGGCAAAGCATACAAACTTGTTATACCTTATGAACCAAAGAAGGCAGACGACTATGAATATTACGAGTCTAAGATAGTTGAAGTTCAAGGTAAATTGGGTAAAAAGATTTTAGAGTCTAAGCCAGTGTTTGCCCCTAAAGAGGAAGAGAACATTGACATTGACCCAGAAATGTTCTAAAAATAAAATTTTATTTTTACATGTCAAATTTCTTTTTCTCTGGAACTGGTTCAGGTTCTTTCTTCTCTTCTACTTTTTTCTCTTTCTTTTCTTTCTTCTTCTTCTTCTCTGGTGGAGATATGTCAAATTTCTCAGAACCATATTTATGTAAAAGTTCTTTGTCCTTTAATAGCTCATCTATTCTGTTTTCTATTTCATCTTCAAGAACAGCGCATGTGTCTTCTTTGCATTCTAAGAAGTTTTGTTGGACTTCATCTCTCCAAGAGGCGTCATCTCTGTCAACAAGTCTGTCATTGACAAATTTTAAGACTGCTCTGCTTAATGTTTTATGGTTCTTGTCATATTCCCAGAAACAGAACTTTAGAACAAATTCCCCTTTCTTGTTTACACTATGTAAGATTTTATGGTCGACAGATGTTTTGCTGTCGAAAAGCTTGTCTCGAATATAGATAGCGAAATCGCTAGACATTTTCTAAAAGATAAAAATTTTAATTTTTCTAAAAATATGTTAGAAAAAAAGTTTGCTGACATTGACAAGAAATTTGAGAATGTTTTAAATAAGAACAAGAGAAAGTTAGAAAATGCTCAGATAAAGCCTATACATGACAAGTTCTTATTTGCTCAGAATGGTATAACAGGTCTAATTGCACCACCTGGGTCGGGTAAGACTTTCACTTATCTTAAAATGGCTGCACAACAACAAGAACTAGATGAGAAGAACCCATTCTATGAGTTAGTTGTTATTTGTAGTACTTCTGGTCAATTTGACCAAACCGTCAATTCGTTCAAAGATATTATAAAGAAGTCTAAGTTAGTATGTATAAAGGATACTGAGTTGTTAGATTGGATAAAGAAGTACTAAAGAAGAGTTTTGAAGTATAATGCTATAAATGAGTATATAAATTCTAAGTTTAAAGACCCAAATGAGGAAATGCAGAGAATATTAGAGAAGAAACACTTCAGAAACAAACAGAAAGAGATAGAATACATTTCGAAGAAATTGCAATCTTACGATTGGAAGACATACCCTCATAGATGTCTTCTTATCTTAGATGACTTTGCTTCTCATCCTTTGTTAAAGAACAGAGAACAAGACATGTGTCGAATTCTTAAGAAGCTCAGACACTTTAACATCTCAGTCGTAATATGTGTACAGACAGCAAAGAGTTTAAGTAAGGATGTTAAAAGAATACTTACTGACATTATACTTTTCCCGGATTGTCCGAAGACGATTTCATGGAACTTATGAAAGAGTCCATGGCAGGTAAGTTTGACAGATATGAACTCTGGGAGAAGTATAAAGTCATACAAGACCCTCATACTTCTTTCAGAATTCATATCTACGCAAACAAAGTTCAAATTGTAAAAAGTCAATAAAAATAAAGAGTTCATCTACCCTACTTGTTTGAAGTTGTCAAAATACTCTGTTATTTTTTCTTTCAGTAGCGGTAAGTCTTCTTTGAATGTAAGTATTGTACAACCTTTCATATCATAGTGTGTTTGAGGTAACGTATCTTGAACTATTTGTTTCACATCTTCATTTGGGGTCATTGAAATCGGTAAGTTTTCGCGATAGAACCAATTTCTGTCAGATTTGTAAATCTTAGCAAGGTCGTAAAAGCTTTTGTTGTTTCTTCTGACTAAATGCAACATAACCATATCTTTATCTTCTTCATTTTCCATCTCTTCAGTATAAATCATATACTTATAGTTCTTTTCCTTTCCTTTTGGTACCGAACGTGGTATTCTTTTCTGAATGCTTTTGTCTTTTGCTTCAAGCTTGTTCTCTAGCTCTTCACGTTCTTGTCTATGAATTTCGTCAAGAAGTCTGTAAATATACCAAGCATAACGAGGCGAAGCCCACATTGCAACAGCATTTACAAGAAGTCTATGTACATAATATCCTCTCAAACCGTTTGGCAATTTTTCACGATTTTCATAGAGTTTTGGCGACTGGGGTTTTTTACCTACTCGCTGTTCTTCACTGTTTTCAGAAAAAAGTATGTCTCGCTGTGCTTCGCTCAAAAGTTCTTGTGTGCTTTGGTTCCTAAACCAGTCTTTAGGAAGCTTAGTATCTGGAGCAAAACATGCTGTCAAAATACTTTGCATTTGGTACATATCGTCTTTGACCGAACGAATGAGACGGAGTTGTTTGTTAAACTGTATGTACTCATATTCTTCATTTATAGCTTCATGAACGATAGCAGTTGTTGTGTTCTCTGTTGTTGACATTACTGTCTTTACATACAAAATAAAAAAATAAATAAAAATAAAACTAACTTTATTTTTTCTATCTTAAGGAAATTCATGAATTTCATAGAGTTTTGGCGACCCAGATAAAAGTCGGTCTCGCTGTTCTTCACGATTTTCATACGGAATCTCTTCTCTCGGTTTTCCGAGGGAAGCAAGCATATGCCATTTTACTCAGAATTTTGTTGCTGAATTCAATAAAAATATATTTTAGGTGAAGAGGTGAGATCTCACCCGTTTTCTCACCTGTTTTCTCACCTCATGAATTTTCATGATTTCTTCGTACATGTTTTGTCAAAACTTCTTCGTACATGTTTTGTCAAGACTTCTTCGTAAATGTTTTGTCAAGACTTCTTCGTAAATGTTTTGTCAAGACTTCTTCTTCGTAATGAGCGTAAATCAGACAAAAATAATGTTTAGGTGAAGTGGTGAGATCTCACCCGTTTTTTCACCTGTTTTCTCACCTCATGAATTTTCATGATTTCATCGTAAATGTTTTGTCAAAACTTCTTCGTACATGCTTTGTCAAACATGAACGTAAATGTTTTGTCAAGACTTCTTCGTAATGAGCGTAAATCAGACAAAAATAATGTTTAGGGTAGAAGGTTAGATCTCACCCGTTTTCTAACCTGTTTTCTCACCTCATGAATTTTCATGATTTCTTCGTAAATGTTTTGTCAAGACTTCTTCGTAAATGTTTTGTCAAAACTTCTTCGTAATGAGCGTAAATCAGACAAAAATAATGTTTAGGTGAAGTGGTGAGATCTCACCTGTTTTCTCACCTCTTTTCTCACCTCATGAATTTTCATGATTTCATCGTACATGTTTTGTCAAACATGAACGTACATGTTTTGTCAAGACTTCTTCGTAAATGTTTTGTCAAAACTTCTTCGTAATGAGCGTAAATCAGACAAAAATAATGTTTAGGTGAAGAGGTGAGATCTCACCTGTTTTTTCACAAGCGTTTTACATGAATTGTACGATGTATATTTGAAATCCTAAACAATTTCGTAGCTTCTATTTCTTCTTTTAGTACATCGAATGTTTTAACAATGCCGAAAGTTTCTTTATACTTCTTCTTGACGTCAGATAATAGGAAATCGTCAGCAGTTGGATAGTTTTTGTTCAGAAATTCTAACATGTCCATTTTATCTTCTGCTTCTTTCTTTAAGTCTGCATAGTCGTTTCGCATTCTTTCTATCTCTTTGACTGAGTAGTTATATTTCCTCATTGCTGCTTTACATTTAGAACATTGCGGGTTCATTTTTGCGTTATATTCTGAAACCTTACCTGCTAAAACAACTAAGGCGTCAATGGTTTTCTTTAACTCAAAAGCTGCTGGTTTTATCTGTTCATTCCATACCTTACCTCTTCTATCTTTATCTCTTATCTGCCATACACATTCAGCAACTAACGAAACAAAGTTGTCGTATGTCTTAAATTCTTCAGATTTATATATGTCAGAAACATTCTTATATACCATATCGCAATCTTTGTCCATAACTTTATGGTTGCAATGAAAACCAAGGAATTCATAGTTTACCTTTCGTATGAACTTCTTTATTTCTACTGAGTCAGTTGCTTTGACTTCAATTTCGTCAAATTCAGGAATAGTGAGTTTTTGTTGTTGGATTTCAGGTAGTTTAGGCAAATGGTCAATAATGTCCTGCATTTCATAAAGATACTGTTCATTTTCTTCATCTTTCGCACTACAGTCTAAATTACTTGTTAACAGTTCTTGCTTTATCTTCTGGATTTTTGTTTCGAAAGTATATGAAGAAGGAATGAAGTTTTTCATCTCTACTAACATAGATGTTGGATTCATGACTAACGAGTTTGGTGCTGTAGTTTGAACTGTTGTTGTGCCGATTGTTGAAATCATATCTTTACATACAAAATAAAAAAAATAAATAAAAATAAAGTTAGTTTTATTTTTTATTTCGGGAAAATTCATGAAAATTCATGAGGGTAGAAAAGAGGGTAGAAAACAGGTTAGATCTAACCTTCTACCCGACATTCTCGTCAAATACAAAAAATGACACTTTTTCATTAGATAACTGTTATTTTTTGACGAAGTGAAGAGTAACACTTCGTCAAAAAAATCCCTGAAATCATATCTTTACATACAAAAAATGAAGAATAAATAAAATAAAACTAACTTTATTTTTTTATTTCGGGAAAATTCATGAAAATTCAAGAGGGTAGAAAACAGGTGAGAAAACAGGTGAGATCTCACCTTCTACCCTAAATTATATTTTTTGGTCATTTACGCTCATTACGATGAAGTCTTGACAAAACATTTACGAAGAAGTTTTGACAAAACATGTACGAAGAAGTCTTAACAAAGCATGTACGTTCATGTTTGACAAAACATAAACGAAGAAGTTTTGACAAAACATTTACGATGAAATCATGAAAATTCATGAGGTGAGAAAACGGGTTAGATCTAACCTTCTACCCTAAATTATATTTTTTGGTCATTTACGCTCATTACGATGAAGTCTTGACAAAACATGTACGAAGAAGTCTTGACAAAACATGTACGTTCATGTTTGACAAAACATAAACGAAGAAGTTTTGACAAAACATTTACGAAGAAGTTTTGACAAAACATGTACGAAGAAGTCTTGACAAAACATTTACGATGAAATCATGAAAATTCATGAGGTGAGAAAACAGGTGAGAAAACAGGTGAGATCTCACCACTTCACCTAAAATATATTTTTGTCTGATTTACGCTCATTACGATGAAGAAGTCTTGACAAAACATTTACGTTCATGCTTGACAAAACATTTACGTTCATGTTTGACAAAACATATACGTTCATGTTTGACAAAACATGTACGAAGAAGTCTTGACAAAGCATGTACGAAGAAGTTTTGACAAAACATTTACGATGAAATCATGAAAATTCATGAGGTGAGAAAAGAGGTGAGAAATGAGGTTAGATCTAACCTTCTACCCTAAACATTCTCGTCAAATACAAAAAAATGAAAAAATGACACTTTTTCATTAGATAACTGTTATTTTTTGACGAAGTGAACATTAACACTTCGTCAAAAAAATCCCTGAAATCATATCTTTTATACAAAAAAATACAAAAAATGACACTTTTTCATTAGATAACTGTTATTTTTTGACGAAGTGAACATTAACACTTCGTCAAAAAAATCCCTGAAATCATATCTTTTATACAAAAAAATACAAAATAAAACTAATTTTATTTTTTCTATCTTAAGGAAATTCATGAAAATTCATGAGGTGAGAAAACAGGTGAGAAAACAGGTGAGATCTCACCACTTCACCTAAAATATATTTTTGTCTGATTTACACTCATTACGAAGAAGTCTTGACAAAACATTTACGAAGAAATCATGAAAATTCAAGAGGTTAGAAATGAGGTTAGAAAACAGGTTAGATCTCACCACTTCACCTAAAATATATTTTTACTGAATTTAGCAACAAAATGAACGAGGTCAGGATGTATGTTGCTGAATTCATTCATAACACCCTTTGTAAGCTCATAAAATGCTTGTTTTGAGGTCGAGCCACATTTGGCTCCACCGTATTCTTTCAACCAAAACTCAAGAATTTCCTGCATGAATTTTGTATAAAAAGCAACCGCCGGAATTCCGGCAGTTGCTATATTCTTCACAAAACATTTACGTTTAGTTTACGAAGAAGTCATGACAAATTCAAGAGGTGAGAAAAGAGGTGAGAAAACGGGTGAGATCTCACCTCTTCACCTAAACATTATTTTTTGGTCCGGGAACAACTTTCTCTCAATTGGAGCTGTAGCATACTCTTTGCGTAAGCGGTTCAGACCTTCTTCGAACTCTTGGTCTCTCTTCGATTTGGATTGAGATTGGAATTGCTGGAAAATCCAAGGGTTGGGGAAGTAAGGCATAGGCTGAGGAGGGTAGTTCGGGAAGCCTTGTGGTAGGTAGTAACCTTGAGGTGGAAATTGGTAGTAATTCGGAGGTACTTGCTGGAACTGAGGTGCAGGGGCTGGTGCTTTAGGTTCCTCTGGTTTGGGAAGGCGTTCAGGAAGAGGGACGTCGGACATTCGTTTGTGTCCTGTCGGAAGGAAGAACTTTTCCTGTCGGAAAGAAGAACTTTTCCTGTCGGAAGGAAGAACTTTTCCTGTCGGAAGGAAGAACTTTTCCTGTTGGAAGGAAAAACTTTTTCTGAAGTTCGACCAAAAAGTTCTCAATTTTCGAAAATTTGAATGGTTTACGGACGGACAACTGGAAGAGTTCTTCCTGTCGGAAGGAAAATTTTTTCCAGTTGTCGGGAAAATTTTTTCCAGTTGTCGGGAAAATTTTTTCCTGTCGGATGGAAGGACTCGGAATGCCAGAAGGATTTGACGAGGCAGTTTACCTAATTTAAATTAACGAAAACATTAATATATAAAATTCATGAAAATTCATGAAAATTCATGAGGGTAGAAATGAGGGTAGAAATGAGGGTAGAAATGAGGTTAGATCTAACCATCTACCCTAAACATTATTTTTTGGTCCGGGAACAACTTTCTCTCAATTGGAGCTGTAGCATACTCTTTGCGTAAGCGGTTCAGACCTTCTTCGAACTCTTGGTCTCTCTTCGATTTGGATTGAGATTGGAATTGCTGGAACAACCAAGGGTTGGTGGGACGTGGGACATTCGTTTGTGGCTTAACCGTCAGACCACCAACGATAAAAATCTCTGCTACTAACAGTACTTTTACTGACAGTAGCAGTACTTTTACTGACAGTAGCAGTACTTTTACTGACAGTAGCAGTACTTTTACTGACAGTAGCAGTACTTTTACTGACAGTAGCAGTACTTTATCGTCGAAAACCCTCTCAAATTTTCCTTTTTACTGACAGTAGCAGTACTTTATCGTCGAAAACCCTCTCAAATTTTCCTTTTTACTGACAGTAGCAGTACTTTTACTGACAGTAGCAGTACTTTTACTGACAGTAGCAGTACTTTTACTGACAGTAGCAGTACTTTTTCTGACAGTAGCAGTACTTTTACTGACAGTAGCAATGGTCGAGGTCGAACCTACCGACGAGGCAATTTACCTAATTGAAATTAACGAGCTTGTTAAGCAGTACTTGCGCAAGGTCATGAAGCCCAAGGTCAAGTTCACCACTATTTCTGGAAGGGCTGCCTTGAATCTCGAGATTTCGACTGGAATTCCAATTGACGTACCAGAAGGCACTCCTTTCGACGACATAAAGGACGCCAAAAGAGAAGCTCTTGTTAAGTTCCTAAACAAACGTCCTCGGATAAAAATACCAAACAGAGAGAGTCCAATTCCACGAATTATACAAATTCTCAGAGCACTGTTCCACTTCTCGGGTCAGCCGTTCTACATAACCTGTGAAGGCGACATCCAACCAGTTCAGTAAACATCTCATTTTAACTCACTTTTTTTATGTTTTTTGTGAAAGTGTCAAAAATAAATTGTTTTCATGAGTTTTCTACGATGTTAGAAAAGTGGTTAGAAAACGTGTTAGATCTAACATGCTAACATAAACATTATTTTTCAATACTTTTTCAGCACTTTTCCGTAGTTATATATGAAAGACAATTCGAGATAAAAGTCATAGTACAATGGAATAATATGTTGCACACCATTTGTTGTGAACCAAACTTGAAAGTCAGAGAAACTGTTACTAGGTGGTTCGTAGAATTTAGAAGCAAAGTCATAAAAGTCCTTACCAATACATAGAAAACTATTGTTGCTTGAACTGAAACTTGCATGACACATAACATTTTGAGGGTCAAACACGTTTCTATAAACTGTCAAATCTGCTGGTGGAAGTATAAATTTAAATGGACCATCTGGTGGTAATGGTTCGTTCTGGTTTAGTAACCGAAGAAATTGTGCCCAAGAACGTTTGTCTACTTTCCAAAATAAAAACTCTGTATCTCTTGGAGGGTTAATTTCAATCTTTTGAAATGAAACGGTGGAGTTCATCTTGTCATATTCTAGTTTCAGATAGTATGTTCCATTTAGTAAAGAGTCGTATTTTTCTTGAAATTCCCAATAATATTTGTTCATTTGAGTTTGAAAGTCATTTAGAGTTTTCTCAAGACTTTCGTCTGAACGAACTGTAAAGATTCTCATTTCATCAAATTTGTCTATTAGACCATCAGAACCTTTATACTGCCCATGAAAATATACTGCGAACATAAATGCGTTAGTTCTATTTGAAAACAAAACTCTTCTAAATGCTATTGCCTTTGCATCTGAAGGACTTTGAAGCCAACGAATTGGATAGTCAAACCTGTATGCTCGGGATGAAATTTCTTCATCTGAAATAGTCCTACCAGCATTTGTAAAGATATAGTCTAACGGTTTTGTATCTGCTACTTTTGTTCTTTGTTTTTCAACCTGAAGCATTTAATATATGTAAAAATATATTGTTTTAAAATGGTATGCCATTTCATATTTCTCATCTAACAAACAAGTTTCCTTCAACTTGAGGTTCACTAACAAACTCAGCGTACATTTCAAATAAAATTTAAAAATGTCACTTTTTTGAAAAACGTTTTTATTTCATGCAATGTTTAACACATCGAAAGGCATGTTCATAAGACGTTCTTCTTCTAACCTCTCTAGTCTGTTTGGATAATTGGCACGTGCTGTTTCCAAATCCATTTCGTAGCGAAGACCAGACAATTTGTCATAGACTTTTATGGGTCTTCCCTTCCTATATTTAAACTTCTTCGAAACTCTCCAACCATATCCTTGTAACTCTGCTTTTATTCTAGCAGACTTTCTATCCATTCTATATGGGGGCATTTTTATAAAAATAAAAAAATATTTTTTTTCTTTACTTTACATAACCACCTGCTGCCATAAGTCTTTGACGCCAACCCATACCAGCTAATGAAGGTTGACTTGGTTTAGTTTGGAAACTAAACTTTGGTTTTGGTTTATCTTCAGTTTTTGGTTTTTCTTCTTCTATCGGTTTTTCGTCACTTTTCGGTTCCTCTGACTTTACCTCACCTGCAGGAACAGTTGTGTCGTCAACATCTTCATAAATATCATATGCCATTTGTTTTTGTTTTCCTTTCAACTTTTTGTGTTTGTTGTAAAGTTTAGAATATTTCGACTCTAAGTCAATGAGATGTTCTATAATGAACTGTTGGTCAGTGAAGTAAACTTTTCCATCTGTTGTCTCGAAAGCTCCTTCAGACTTCAATATTTTATTTGTGAGAGTCTGTTTCTTTTTTGAGATACTAGCCGTTCCATTTTTATGAAAAGTGACTTTGTAGTTAGGGTTTGTATTTCCAGACCTGGCACTTTCTATTATTGAATTTTTCTCTTCATCTGTAAGTTCTTTGACGGGTTTTGACAATGGTTCTGAACTTTTTGTTTGTGGTGTCAAATCTACCGTTTCAACTTCTTCGGTCATTTCATCTCAGTAAAAAATTTTAGTTTGGTTTGTTTTCAACTGGTTGTTTAGGTTTTTTAAGTCGGTCTAAAACTTCCTGAGGTATAGGAAGAACTTGACAAACACGTGGTGTAACTGCTGGAAGTCGACAAATCCATCTTGAACCCATTTGTCTCAATGCTGTATTGTTCATTTCATCTCAGTAAAAAACTTTACATTCCCCACGTTTGAGGCGGTTGAGGTTGGTTATTGTTTACCCATTGTTGTGCATGGTTATATCCTCTGTTAAAGAATCTTTCACCTTGGTCCATATAGTGTCCTGCTTGGTTATAGTAGTCATTTGCTTTGTTATAATAGTTTCCTGCTTGTCTTCCTACATTGTCCATCCATCCTTGAACTTTTCCTCTTGTTTCAGGATTTGGAATAAGATTTGTTGCATCTCGTGCTACATCCCAACCTTTCTGTACAGTTTGTATAATAGGTTGTGCTTTCTCTTTCAGTATACCTAATGTACTCAAAATCTTCCTTCCAATTCCAAATGCACCTCTGGCTATTGTTCCCACTGCGGGTAAAAATCTAGATGCGACTCCTGCTAATGCGCCAAATAAACCCATTTCTTATAGGATAAAAAATGACGAATCCGAACAAGGACCCCTATGTTTCTAAAGCGACAAAGAAAGCACTCATGGTAAAAATCTTTAGTTCAACACCAAATGCTTGGTTTATGGATATCTTGGAAAACATTCCGAGGTATAGAGAAGATGGACCACCATACTGGTTAATATTTGTTGGTCAAAACACAAGATACTGTGAAGCCATACCATTATGGTCCAAAAATATTTTAGATGTGAAAACTGCTTTGACAATATTCGTTGACAAATACCATCCAACAAAACTGACATCTGACTGTGAAAGTTCTTTCAAATCAGATGATGTAAAAAACTATCTGCGTTCAAAAAATGTAAACCAATATTTCATTGTCGACCAAAACCATTCTGCTCTTGGTGTCATTGACGGTTGTATAAAAATGTTAAGAGACTTAAACCAACCACAAGGTGGTGAAGCAAATGAAATGTCATATGACGACAATATAGACACTTCTCCATGGCAAAGATGAGACAAGTTTTAAATATTTACAATAGCCGTAAACAAAAAGGTTTGGGAAACCACTCCCCCGAAGAAATGAAAAACAACCCTGACTTAGAGAAAGACTATATATTTAATAATTTAGTCAAAAGAGACAAACAAGAAAGAATGCCGGGCTTCAAACTTCAGAAAGGTGACAAAGTAAAAATAGAAATACCTAAACGCGACCCATATGAAAATACTATTGACTATGACAACAATGGGAACCCGATAGGTACTCACATTCGTGTTCGTAAAAATAGAAGAAAGTATACAAGAGAATATTATGAAGTTTTAGGCAAACATGGCAAAATGTACACACTGCAAGCAGAAGATAAAACTACTATTGCCAGACCTCGTTTCAAACTTGTCAAAGTTCAAGGTGGTATACTTTCAAAGACAGTTCCTAACAAATATAAGACAACTCCTGACGAATATGCTAAAGAAGTTGAAAATGACGACTAAGCAATTCTATACCATGCGTAAACTGTCATGTAAGGTGGCATGTATTCTTTACTTTGTCCCGTTGTTTGCGTATATCCTGAAACGAAATGTGTATGGTTTCCTTCTCCCCGTGTCATCCCAGTAACAATTTATAGCAAACTTAACGTCGTCTTTAACATCATATCCTTTACCTTTTGTCATTCCTGACCAATCCCAATATCTATGCTTATGCCAACCTGCTTGAGATGTGCTTAAATCTATGTAGTGACTATGTGCAGGTAAATTTTCACCTGAAATCGTTTTACTTCCCCTGTTTCCTTTGAAGAGTTTGCACAATACAAAAACCTGTCGACTATTTGTTCCCATGCACCAACACCAAACATTACTTGAGGACCTCTTGCTTCCATAGATGTATAAATAGAACCTACTGGGTTCATTAAATCAAACATATGAGATATTATAGGATTGTCTCTTTTGAACTTAAAATATAGTGCAACTATTTCAGGTTTCTTCTGGTTTGTGTCAGAATATTTTTTATAATATAATCTTATGTTTTCAGGGTAGGTAAAATCTTGACTATAATATTTATTTCTGTCATCTGTATAATAATATACTATTCTCGTTTTTTCTATTGCATTATATCTTTTATATCTATAATAATCTAAATATAATGTTAGTTTTTGTTCATCTACATGTGGTGTTCTGTCGTCATCTCCATAGTCATAATAATATGGTGCTGGAGCTGGGTCAGCCAACGTCATACCTGCCATTTCATAAACTCTTAAATATTTCTTTTGTTCGTCTCCATATAAGTTTAAGTAGCAGTTGTTGTCTAATGGAACTTTAACTTGTGTACCATTATTCTTTATATAGCCTACATACATTTCATTGTTATTTTTCGGAATGAGTTTATACCGTATACCATTTTTAAGGAGTGTACAAACTCCCATCTAAAATATTTGTTTTCTTCATAGACAGAAACATCCCCAACAATAGTTTCAATATTTTTCGTTGTTCCTATCAAACTTTGGTATATTTCGTTAACATATTCCTTATCCGCTTTATTTTCAAGGCTAACGTTTAAGTTTGTAATATCAGATATAGAATGTGTATGTCCAACGGCACTTTTCCTGTTTAAGGTTTCTTGTAAGTTTGTAATATTTGCAATGGTATGTGTATGTCCAACGGCACTTTTCCTGTTTAAGGTTTCTTGTAAGTTTGTAATATCAGATATAGAATGTGTATGAGTCTTTTTAGAATATTCGTTTTCAGCTCTTGTCACTTCACTTGACATTTTATTGTCAACATATGTTTTGTCTGCTATTCAGGATGAGTATGTTCTTTTGTTGCATAAGCATTGTTAGCTCTTTCTTCTTCTTTTGCTATTGCATCGTCTACATATTCTTTGTCAGCTTTGTTGTCAACATCTGCTTTCAAAAGAAGTTCATTTATAGGTTTCTCGTTTAAAGTTCCTTTTGTTGGATTTATACAGACAGTATTGTTCTTCTTGTCTTGAAACAGAAACTCATCTGTCATTGGGTTTAATGTCAGTTTTAAGTTTCCTTCTTTCAATGACTCAGATATCTTAGAATAGTTTGAAAAGTTTGTTGTGTTCTTATTTAGAGCTTGCATAATGAGTTGTCGGTTGTGTTGTATTTCTCTCATGGAAGCAATATCTTTCGACATTTTTATTCTAGATAAAATATGCTTTCAATAGAAAAAGAAAATTCAAGAGTTGCTACAACTAAACCATTAGATGAACTTTTTACTAATGTCGGTCAAAAGTTTGAGACAGAGACCGTAAAGCATGAAGGCTATCGTTTTGACTACCCATTAAGATGGTTAAGAGACCCATCTGTCACAAAAGCTATTGGCTTTCGTAGAATGAAGTTCATTTCAGAAGCCATACATGGTTTCCCATTTACGGTCGGTTTTGAAGTTCGATACTATAACAAAGAAAAACGTATGTATGAGAAATTGAACAGGGAAAACTTTTACAAGTTAGTTTGCTTGTAAACTTAGAAACAACTCTTCAAGCTTTTCAAGAAAAAATAAACGATATCTATATGAATATGCAAACAGTATAACATTGACGAAGGAGAATACCATCTCGATATTATTTATGACAGGAAAAATGCAACTGTTAAAATCAATAAAATAGAAGACCTTGGAGAAAACGTTTATATTTCTACAAAATATAACAACTTGGCATGGTATAGATTTATGAGGATGTTAAATCAGCCTGCAGCATATCCAGTACACCCGGACTATTATGAAGTCGAAAACCCTAATGGAACATATGAAAATATTTTCGACCAAGATGCTATTATTGTTCATGCTTCATTTTCTGGCGCCCAGAACTCTTTCTTATGCTTGGCAAATGACTTTTACGAAAACCTACAAAGTTATACGAACCACCAAGTGGAAGTATTTCAGACTTTCAAGTATGGTTTACTACAGATGGAAGAAAAAGAATAATTCCATTATACCATGCGTTTTACTTAGAACTTAGTTTCATATACAACTACTATCGAACGATAAAAATATAATTTTTTAATACGGTTGAGGTGTTGGATTTGGTTGCCAACTTGACTGTGGTGCAGGTTCAGGCTGTTGTATTACAGGAGCTTGTTCTTCTGGTTCAGGGTCTTTAGGTATAATACCAACAAACTGACCTTACTCTTTTACCAATATTTTTGACTCCGTTCCAAATTCCTTTTCCTACGGTTTTTATTCCATTCCATATACCTCTTCAACTCTTCTGAAGAAGTTTCCTATCTTACTGAAGAAACCCATTTTACTATATGTAAAATCTAATGTCCGCCTAGTCTCTTACGTTTCCTGTTGAGTTCCATAGCATTCTTTAACTGGAGCTCATACATTCTGTTTCTCCTCTGGTAGAAAACATATTCTGGGTCAACTCCTGTGTTCGCGTCATCTGCATAAAGTTGTTTATATCCCACTTCAGGGTTTGTATAAAACTCTTTCCATCTCATATTTGCATACCATGGTGGCAAACCTAACGCAGCGTCATTTGACATGGCAGTTTGCATTTGTACATCTGTTGGCACTTGACCATAGTTTGCCATTGCAGTTTGTATTCTAACTTCATTTGGAATATTTCTCTGGGTTTGGTTGTCCAGGTTGCTGTGCATTCGCTAAGTTCTGTGCGTCCATTTAATATTAGATAAAAATATCTCTTACGAGTACATATACTGAACATTTGCAGGCATTGGTTCATCTTCATATTCTCTGTACTTTTCTGCCACGTCAAAGAAATAAATGACACAATGGAAAAACCTAAAACAAGTAGTCCTATTTCAAAACTACATTTACTTACTAATAAAATTTCTTTATTGTGACACTTTCTCCAGTTTATAGGACCTCTCTCATATTCTATCTTGTCATATATAAACTCATAGTCATGTATGTCCTCTAACCATCTCATAACGGTTTCCAAACCACTTTTATCGGATGTAAAGTAAAAGCATGGATGGTTATGTATAACGTCTAAAGTTTCTAAAGAGTCTCTCAAAGTCCAGTCTACTTGGTATTGAAATCCCATGTGTAAAGAACGGCGGGTCCACTATAAAGAAAACATTTTCCTTGTCTTTATATTTTTCATACAACTCTGTCCAACGACATCTCACAAACTCTATACCCTCAATATATTTTTCTATGTCCTCTTTGAAAACATTTGTATAGTTAAGATATAAAACTTTTGACATAAGTGTTTCAATGTCATGAACTCTTATAGAAACCACTATATAATAGTCTAGCAGATATACTATCCCAGTCTATATTCTGCTTTTTTCAAAACCTCTCTCACAATATTTTTCTTATCTAATGGTATACGTTCCATCTTACCTATAGGTATCTTTTCTTTTAACTCTTTCAATATATTGTTTGTGTCTGGAATATGTTTGAGACGGTCATATAGTTGTTCGAAGTCATTGCATATAATCTTTGAGTTCAGGAAATACGGTATGACATAATGGGATATATAGAAACTTCCACGAACAAATCTACAAATGTTAGACCATTCGGTAGTTTCTTAAGTTCTCTCAATATAATATCTTTACATCTACTCTTATTTCCAAAGAACGGTAACGGTGGTTTTGTAAAATTCATTTATATATAATAATAAAAATGTTTTTACCCGAAAAGTGACAGAAAAGTGACAAAGCATGAAAACATATATAATTTGTGAAAAGTGAAACAAAAAGTGACATTTTTAAAAGTGACATCATTAATATGATGTAAATAACAACGGTTTTGGTTTTGTCACCGGCTGGTCGGCTGAGTTAGTATGGTTAACTTGGGTACGGCGGCACTGCGTTCCACCTTACCCAACTTAACCTTAAATATTTACAAAACCATCTGACACATAAATGACTTCACTAATGACTTCACTAACGACTTCACTAATGAAAAATAAACGTTCTCACTAACGTTCCCACTAATGTTCTCATTTACAAAAGTATTGCAGCGCTTCCCATTGCTGTGCTTCACACAATAGTTCATATTCTTCAGTATCGCTGCTGTCACTCCAATCGTCAGAGTCAAAGTCACTGTCAAAATAAATGTTAGTAAGTTTTGACAAAGCTAATGAAACACGCTTACCGTTTGTATCTATTGCTTTTATATATCTCCCATTATGTTTGTTGTCATAAACGCTCAAACTAACTTTACCCTTTCTCCCTCGTATCTGATAGAATGTATTTTCACGAGGAACGAAGAACAAATTCTTGAACTCATGACCGTTGTAGTTTGTTATCTCAATAGTTTTCGTCATTTATATAAAAATAAAATAAAAAATAAAATAAAAAATTAATGATATCACCACCCTCACACGTATGAAAACATAGCACAAAAATAAATTTAGGGTAGAAGGTTAGATCTAACCTCATTTCTACCCTCATTTCTACCCTGTTGAATTCATTGCTTTATAACTCTCTTCCTTGGTTTCTTTTTAGTTGCTTTCTTCACGTCTGTCTCCAACTTGACTGTCTTTCTTCTTCGTCCGTAATGATACCAGTTACTTCCACCAGTCAATGGGTCAAATGGTCTTTCGTAAGGGTTTCCATACATTCCATAAGGTCCGTATGGAAGAACTACTAGTGGAGAAGAAACATTTTCTTTAGTTCCATCGACTCTATTTAAATGCATTGTTTTACCTTTCATCTGGTCATTAAAGTCTTTTGCGTGTTTTGCAAACTCATCGTCCTTTCCTAAAGCATTTTCTGACTCAGTCGCAACCAAATTGGATGCTTTATTTATGAGCCCTATTTTATTTAATCTTAACTTCTTTGCAACCCAGCCTCCAATCTTCCCTTTATTTGCATCTAATGTCTTCGAAACCCTTCCTCCACTCATTTTATTTACTGCGTCATAAGCTCCAAGTGCTTTTGCTCCAAATGCTAATGCTTTTGTTCCCATTGCGCCTAAAGCTGCCCAAGCTACCATTTACACCATATTAAAATCATCTCTCTTCAATATTATCTCATAAAAGTTCTCGTTACTGGAGAAAGTCAATGAAACATAAGCGTTCTCACGGGCTTCGCCCTCACCGCTTTGCGGTCTATCTAACTTCTTTCTTATCTCATCTATTCTCAATAAAATATCTGAACAATTGCTAACATCTTCTACAACAGTTATTTCATCATGAATGACCTTCAAGAACAAGCTCATTTAATATGCAATTAAAATCATCTCAATAATGAGTCCATCCTTTCCATCTTTAGGTAGCACAACATCTTTCATTGAAGAAGGTTCGACAAGTCTTATGTTAAACTTACTGACAAAGTTTGTTATACTATAATGCTTCGGTGGCGAATACATGTAGTTTGAAAGACATAATATAGATTCTTCAGCAAATTCACTTATACTGGATTTTATAACAATGTTCTCACGAGACCAAACGCCACCAATTGACAATCTTGTAAGCAATCCTGCTGAGCCTTCAACTGTAAACGTCGATGGTAACATTCCACGAAGGTCATCTATTGACATCTTTGAGTCACTGAATTTAAATATTTTCTTAAAGCAATCGTCATTATCTAACTATGCAATAGCTTTGAAGTTTTCATTCGAATATACATCTGCTTCATTAAATGTAAAACCTGACTTCTTTGCAGAGATGACTTTAAAATCTATTGAGTTTGTTTCAAAATTATATGCTATGGTAACTTCTGAAGGTAATGGATGCCCTTCCGCAGTCAGTTGTTCTCTCACTACCGTTTGAAGCTTTGTGTTAAAAACTTTCATGTCATCTCCTGTGTCTAGGTTCACATACACAGCAACAGGGAAACTATCTTGCTTCTTTGTTTCATCATTATATCTCAAAACATTAAAGTTCTTCAATAATATTGTTCTTCCTGCTGGAATACTTCGAACCTGTCTGATTTCAATAGCTTTCTCACCTCCTACATACTCTACCCAGTGTCTTGGATATTCATAAGTATACTGACTTTCTTGAATTTTGGTTGGTTTCATCATAACATGTTCATAGTATATCTTTATACTCTTGTCAGTTAGACTCGGTGCTATGTTCTGAATATTTCTGACTTGCATTTTTAATGGAGATAAAATGAAGCATTTAATACATGATGTAGATGAAGACATGAATGAAACTACAGACAAACTTAACTCTTCTCTTATTCTTCCTTTCAGCAAAGATTATGAATTCTGTTCAAATGGTGTGTATTTCTATTGTGGAAAGATGGGTTCAGGTAAGACATTTAACCTCATTCGTCATATACTCATAACAGAACGTTTAGGAAATGACTCATATTATGACCAAATCATTATATCAGCAACTTCAGACTCTATGGACTCAACAGCGAAAACATTTATGTCAAAAGTTCAAGCCTCTGTCGTTAAAGTTCCAGACAGTGAACTCATTGAATTTCTTCAACGTTACATTCGACGTAAGAGGAAATATTATGCCATCGTTGAATTTATACAGTCAGGAATGCAAAAGACTTCTGAGGAGATGGAAAGAATTATTGACAAACACCACTTACGTCAGTACTCAGGAGTTTACGATATGAAACGACTGACAAACTACATTCTGTCAAAACTTTCAAAATACCCCTTCAAAAAATATCCTTCAAACACTCTGCTCGTTTGTGACGACTTCGCCGGAAAAGGTTTAGTGTCAAAACCAGACTCACCATTAGCTAACATCATAACTAAAGTCAGACATTACCATTTAACTGTAGCAATACTTATGCAAACATGGAGGTTTTTTAGCTTTAAACATAAAACGTCTCATAACTGACTTCATTATCTTTCAAGGTTTCTCACGCTATGATATTGAACTCATTTGGAAACAGTCAGGTATAACATTACCTTTTGAAGAAATTTGGGAAGCATATAAGTCTCTCATCTCTCCTCGTTCATACCTTGAGATTCATATCATGACTAATACCATTAAAGTCAAAAATATTCCATGGGAACGACCAACATTGTTTTAAAGTTTAACCTTCAATTGACTGATGGTAAACAAATTCCATGCATCTCTGTCGCCATTTCTGTTAATATTTTTGCTGTCATTCATATCATCCACTTCCCCATCCGTTAGCTTTTGAGGATATGCGTTAGAATAGCTGTTCTTAAATGAAGGCTTTTCACCTTTGAGAGCATAAACTCTATAACTTTCTGCATACTTTATGTTTGAACCTCCTGAGCCATCATTGACATAAATTTTTATAGGCTTCCACCCTTTGTTCATGTTCCTGCTTCTTCCCTTAGCTCTTTTGTTCAGTAGTTCTACATCTTTATACACAGCACCTGTCTCAGTGAATTCAACAATATTTTCATTCGTTAGCTTTACATTCAAACCCTTGTCGAGTATATTGTTCATTTCATACATATAAAAGGTTTTTATTCTATATGAAATGAGAAGCAAATCCATCTTAGCTGGTGCCGTTAATGTTCCAATTGAACCAACATCAAATGTTGACTCACGAACGACAAACAATATTGTCATAAAGAACTATAGTTCAGAGTGTTTGAAAGAAAAAGAACCAGAACTGAAATCCGTGAATTTAAACTCAGCTTCAAACGCTAACGCTACATCAGATGTTAAGTTAGAGTATCCACCACTGGACCAAATTCTTTCAAGAGAAGCCAACGACAACCCTTACACAAATGTTCAAACAAATCCTTCAGATAACGTAGACCATTACCTTCTTCAGTTATACCAAACAATTTTACTCAAAGACGATAAGAAGCTTTTGACAAATCTTATAAGCAAGAACCAAATAATTCTAACAAAGGAGGACCTTGAAAATGTTATCTCACGAATAACAGGGAAACAATGTGTCATTGACTATCTCGACCCTGAAATCGAATGCTGTGGTCAAACTCCACTATTCATGAAAATAGGTAACATCCGCATCATTGAAACACCAGGAACTACAGGAGTTGAGTTTAAGTATAGGGTGTCCAAAGGTGTGTTTAGCACAAACCTGAATACTGCGAATAGAAATAAACAAGTTACATATATATAAAGTTTATTTAAATATAATCACCATTGGATTCAATCACGCGTTCGCAGCGATCGATCCAGGCTTGAAAGACACGCTTTAAATCATCATGAGAAAATTGCTCAAATTGCTCTCTTACAAAATTTTCAAGATCATCTGGACTCGCGAATTCGCGTCCTTCAGCTCTCTTTTTTAGCGTGCCGAATAAATAAAAGTCAGAGGGTGCAATATCAGGTGAATAAATTGGGTTTGGAACAACTTTGACATTGTTTTCCACCAAGTAATTCATTACCTTATGACTTTTGTGAACTCTTGAATTATCAAAATGAATTGCAAACTTTTGTTTTTGTTGTTTGGATTTCTCAAACTCATCAGAATTGATAATTTGAGTAAGAACATTGTCAATTAGATACTGAGCATTCATCGTATTAGGTTTTTAAAGAATATCAATTGCGATGATGTCATTCACGCCCCAAAAAACCGACAACATAATCATTGGTGTGTCAATTTTTTTCTTCGGGAATGTTTGCGGATCTTCATCCTTCGGGATCCACATGATTTTGGCTTCTGTTGCATATTGAAACCAAGACTCGTCCCCTGTTACTAAAAAGCGAAACTTCTTGGATTGATACGCACCCAATATAGAGAGGAGCTCTTTCGAAGATTGGACTCTAGATTTTTTTTGAACTGAATTAAGGTTGTGCGGAACCCAACGTGTATACGCTAGTTTGTAGTTCAAATAATTGTGCAGATAATAACTGACTGTTGTACGTGGTATCTTTGTCATCTCCTCTATCCTTCTGAGTGATGCTCTTGGGTCTTCATCTAGCGCTTGAAGAATTGCTTTGATTTTTCTTTGATCCGGCGATTTTTTGTCAATTTTTATGATGGGCGCCTTTTTGTTCATGAAGTGATACATCCTAACATGATACGTTACAGTGGAATAGCTAGGAGCATCCATACCGAAGCATTTTACCAATGTCTCGTAGATTTTTACAGTCTTTGCATTTTTTTGCAAGAGCGCGGATGTTTTCTTTATGATTCATTAAAAAAATGAAAAAAAATCCCGCCAAAATTTCCCGCGAAACCGCCTCTTGTCTCAAAATTCATTTTATATCCCGGCATGGCGCCAAAATACAACTTACTCATCATATACATATATTCATCTTTTTTATTATATATTTATAATCAGCATATATCTCCTTTAATAGTCTCATATAGAGCGCTCTGCTAAACGCACCTTTGGACACCCTATATAAATATTCGAACGAGTATACAAAACTATCTACTTACTATAAGCTTTGTTTGAAATATGTTTTAGTAAATTAAAGCAGTCAGGACCTTCGGTCTTGGCGCTTTGTGCCGTCAGTCAAAAAAATTTCAAGTTAGCAATTTGTAATATCTATCCAAAACTTCTTCAACAGTATCGAACTCATCTTCATAATGCAAACCTAATCTTATTGACTTGGTGCAGTTTTCACTAACACAATATTTTTCTGTTCTCTTGACTGACATAACTAACTCATTTGTTTCATCAAACAGCAACAACCAAAGTTCATGACCTAATACATAACATTCATACTTTATATTTTTAGCTCTGAGTTCTCTTGTAAGCTGTTGCATTTAATATTTTCTAAAAAGTCAACTTCAACAGTCATTCGCACTGGTGCCTTCAGTTCTACAGGCTCTCCTTGAAAGTCAACAAGTCTGAATTGCATGTCTTTCAAATTATGAGGACTAATGCGAACCCATTTACCTAAATGAGTTGCTATGACAGGAACGTTTGGAATGAACATTGAATTGACTGCATAACAGAAAGACTTATATTCTACTGAACCTTTACTATTAACTCCTGAAATACCTGTGACATTAGCTATTTTAGACTCAATGTACAAACAATTACCATAACATACGTATGGAACAGATTTCATCTCAATCGTTTTGTCAACACTTTTCAAAGGAAATGTCATATGGTATGCACCCAAAAGAAGTTGTACTCTATGACTCATTCGTGTTATCTTAAACTCCTTCGCATAACTGAACTTCAAAACTCCTGCAATAAGTTTAACATTCATTAAGTTTTCTTCGTTCTCCTTGTTTATTGTAGTATTTATGAGCGCATTTAACACTCCAGCTAATGTTTCCATCTTATATTCTACATTATTGTGAAATCTTATTTCGTGCTTCTTTCCATCTATTTCAAACTCCATGAAATCTGTTTCGTCAGTTATAACGAATGAAGCAATAGTATTAAAGTCAACAACTCTGAAAGCAAGCGCTTCATTCTGAAGACCTAAGTTTGTTTGTAGCTTTACTGTCCCGTATTCGTTTGGGTCTGTACTTTGCAAATAGAACAACATTTTATTCTCATTAAAATATGACTATTGCTGCATATGCGTATGAAACAAATGAAGCAAGAAGAGCACATGAACTAGTAAACGAAAACTCAACTTTAACCATTGAAGGCAATGATTTAGTCATTGACGATGGAAAAACTAAAAAAGTCATTGATTTCGATACTTTTAACACTTATGACCCATTCATTACAACAAGCAAGGTTCCCATCATAAATGATGGAACGGTGCAATATATAAATTCTACAGTAGATGCCTCATTAGTGAAAGTACTGAATGTTCTCATTGAATTGTTAAAGAGCTTTCGATTTGACGACAACATTAAATGCCTAAAGAATTTAGTCATGAATGAGAAACAAATTCTCGGCGTTGCTGGTAGCAGTAATGATGTACACCTTATGACATTAGAATATTATAACGAACATAAAGATGAACTGAAAGGAGAGAAGGGTGACACCGGACCACAAGGACCACAAGGAATACAAGGAATACAAGGAATACAAGGACCTCAAGGCGAAAACGGTTTGGATGGAAAGGATGGAAAGGATGGAAAAACTGCTAAATCATGGATATGGGACCTTATAAATACTGGTTTAACAGCTGCTTCATATGGAGTTCTTCAATACCAAATCGGAAAGATATGGGCAGTACTTGGTGAAGAAGCTTTAGATGACGTTAAAAATGCTTTGAACTTCATTTCAAATGGTTCGGATACTATTAAAACTTTATCTGGTTGGATGCAAGAAACAAGGAGTCAAATAGATACTGTAAGACGTATAGCAAACAATGCACGTACGGGATTGGATACTTTACGAGAAGCACAAAATACACTAAAGGAAGCAAATGATATTCTTGGCTCAGTATCAGACATGCATGAAGATTGGCTTAAAGGTATTGACAAATCTTTAAAAAATCACAGTCAGTCTATTGCTGACTACAAGAAAAGTATAGATTTTTTACATAGTGCTATGGACGTACATGATGGAAGCATAAGGAACTTACTTAATGCTAACAATAACTTACCAGGAACTATTAAAGCATTTATAAAGTCCTTTGTAAAACCTGGTGCTCTAACATTTAGGTCTTTGAGAGCAAGAGCATTGAAGTCAAGAGATGCAGAAACTCCAGAAGAACCACCAAAACCAACAGCTAATGAAATATTGTTCGAATATTTTCCAAGGTACTCTGTTCTCATTGCATACATTCAAGAAATACTTAAGAAAGCAGACTTGACTTTAGGAGATGATGAAAGTTCTGTATATCTTTCGTTCCAGTTTCAAATAGCAGAACTTTTGAGACAGATATGCTTAATGTATGACAACATCTCTGATTACACAAGATATGATGACGACCATGACCCCGAACACGGTGAAGAAGAAGTTTTACAAACATCCATTAAGACAGGAAAGGTTTTAACTCAAAGTCTCATTATTGACACCAAAGATGGCGAAGTGGACGTTCTTCAAGAGCTGAAGAAAAATACTTCTTCGGGAGGTGGTGGTAGGCATGAACTTGAAATAAATGAGATAGAAGAGAAATTAGCCGAAAAAGCAGATAAAGAACATAAACACAATATCTCCGATATAAATGAACTTCAAGCTACATTAAATAGTAAAGCAGATAAAAACCATGTTCATTATATAACTTCAGATGAACAGATTATAACGGACTACCATGGATATTTAACACAGGATGAAAAAGTGAAGACGGAAGATGTTAATGAAAGAAGATATAAATACATTCGTGCTAAAGGTTATGACATAAGCTGTACTGTACATTATGACACAGGTAAAGCGCTAGAAGCATTTAGTTATAACGATGAAATTTATGCCTCTACTTTCAATGTTAACGGTGTATTAGTTGAACCAAGATTTACTTTGAGAGTTAAGGCAAAAATAACTTTTGAAGATGCTATTAAAAGTAGAGCCGACAAAGATGAACTTGACGCAACGAACAAAGTTTTGAAATCTCATAAACACAATATCTCCGATATAAATGAACTTCAAGCTACATTAAATAGTAAAGCCGACAAAAATCATACACATAAATCCTTCACTACTGTTAGAGCAGACGACATAATATTGAACTATGATTTGGGTTCAAGTGCACCTTTAGAGAATCCGAGTACAAGCGTAAAAGATACTCTTAACAATTTAGATAAGAGTTGCAGGAATATCGAAGATCATGCCAGAAACTTTGAAGCATATGAACTACCATCAATGTTAGACAGTAAAGCCGACAAAAATCATACACATAAATCCTTCACTACTGTTAGAGCAGACGACATAATATTGAACTATGATTTGGGTTCAAGTGCACCTTTAGAGAATCCGAGTACAAGCGTAAAAGATACTCTTAACAATTTAGATAAGAGTTGCAGGAATATCGAAGATCATGCCAGAAACTTTGAAGCATATGAACTACCCGCAATGTTAGACAAGAAAGCAGACAAAACAGAGCTTCAAACATTAAAGACTCAGATTCTTGAAACATTATATCCTATAGGCTCTATTTATACGTCAATGAACTCAACAAATCCAGCAACAGTTTTAGGTTTTGGTACATGGCAGCAGATTGTAGACAAATTCTTATACTGTGCTAACTCTTCAAAGCAAACAGGAGGTTCGAAGAAAATTACTGAAGCAAACCTTCCACCGCACACTCATACAGGAACTACAAACTTTTCTGGCGACCATAGCCACTCATTAAGAGACCATCCATTATACAACTCAGAGTATGAAGCTGGCAATGATGTTTTATCTCCATCTTATAACAATTCAGCAAAAAAGACTTTTCGACCAACTGAACCAGGAGGAAATCATGTCCATACTTTCACAACAAATCCAACAGGCTCGGGTGCAGATTACATGCCACCATTTGTGACTGTATTTGCATGGTACCGCGTTCAATGAACGCGCTTGAGCCTGCTTTGCGGCTTACCGTCTTGAATAAAATCTTTAACTTTACATAAATGAGCTTGAAAGAAGTATTCGAACAACATCCATGGAGGTCATTTAAGAAATTCAATGAAGCAGCAAAGAGTTGGGGATTTACTAACAGAGCTGAAGTGAAAAGGTTCTTTGACAAAAATGTTGTACATCAAACAAAAATAAACCCTTACGACTACTTTTTACCAATTTACTCCAACACGCTCCTGACGCATACCAATTTGACACTCTCATTCAAAGCAGAAAAGGAGGACATAAACCATTCCTCATCTTCATTAATGTTAACACTCGTAAAGCATATGCATATAATGAAAAATAAAGGAACTCGTGAAGTGTTAAGAGTTTTACAAAAGTTTGTAGCAGAACATAGCCCAAGTACTTTAACATCAGACCAAGACAGTGCATATCTCAGCAATGAAATCACAGATTTTCTCATTAAGCATAACATAACTCACTACACTACTGAAGACCATAACCATAACATACTCGGCATCATAACCGCTTCATAAGAACGCTCAGAGATTTAAACAAGAGCGAGACTTTACCGAAGAAACAATGAAACATTTCTCGAAGTATATAATTCCTCAACACATTCTACAACAGGACATACACCAAATTCAATGACACAACAACAAGAAGAAAAGTATATACAAAAGAAACGAAGCCAAACACAAAATATCAGAAATTCAACACAATTTACCCTCATTCCTGGTACAAAAAGTTCGTGTAGTTCTTGACGACAAACCGTTGACAAAGAAACGTTTAAGGTTAAGTCGAAATTATTATATCGTAGACTCTACGCAAGGTAATGGATATCTTATAAAAGCTGCCGACGACTCTATTGCGTTTTATCCTCGTCATAAATTAGTTGAAAGTAGTAATGGCAAACTTGCTGAAACCATTGACGAAGCAAAGCGAGGAGTGGTTATTGAAATACTTGACTACAACATAAACGATGACACTTATAAAGTAAGATATGAAGGAGGCGTTGAAGATGTTATACCATCTAAGAACTTGAGAGAGTCAAGCCAACACATCTGGGACCATTAGAGCGGGAGTACTGGAAAGACAAAAATATGCCAGAAAGAATAAGAAATTCTTCTAAACTTTTTCATTAGATGTAAATCAGACATGAATGAGAACAGTCATGTATTATTAATGGTACCATTTATTTTAACATAAAGACGCAAACGGACTCTTTGAGTCCTGAGGTCTTTCAGACCGAAGCGGCGAGGACGAAGTCCATGACCAAAAATAATGTTTAGGGTAGATGGTTAGATCTAACCTCATTTCTACCCTCATTTCTAACCTCAGCCGCTAAGCGGCGAGACCCAAAGGGTCTTGAATTTTCATGAATTTCCTTAAGACAGAAAAAATAAAGTTAGTTTTATTTTTATTTATTTTTTTATTTTGTATGTAAAGATATGATTTCAACAATCGAAACATCAGCACTTTCGACAGCATGCACGGCACCAAACTCGCTAGTCATGAATCCTACGTCAATGTTGGTAGAGATGAAAAACTTCATTCCTTCTTCATATACTTTTGAAACAGAAATACAAAGAATAAAGCAAGAACTTTTAACAAGTAATTTAGACTGTAGTGCGAAAGATGAAACAAATGGAGAGGAGCTATATGAAATGCAAGATATCATAGACCATTTGCCTAAATTACCGGAAGTTCAGCAACAAAAACTAACTATTCCTGAATTCGATGAAATTGAAGTTAAAGTTACTGATTCAGTAGAAATAAAGAAGTTCATACGTAAAGTAAATTATGAATTCCTTGGTTTTCATTGCAACCATAAAGTTATGAACAAAGATTGCGACATGGTTTATAAAAACATTTCTGACATATATAAATCTGAGGAGTTTAAGACATACGACAACTTTGTTTCATTAGCTGCTGAATGTGTGTGGCAGATAAGAGATAAAGACAGAAGAGGCAAAGTATGGAATGGACAAATAAAACCAACAACTTTTGAGTTAAAGAAAACCATTGACGCCTTAGTTGTTCTAGCAGGTCAAATTTCAATGTATAACGCAAAAATGAATCCGCAATGTTCAAAATGTAAAGCAACAATGAGGAAATATAACTACTCAGTAAAAGAGATAGAAAGAATGAGAAACGATTACGCAGACTTAAAGAAAGAAGCAGAAAAGCCAGCAGAAGATAAAATGGACATGTTGACATTTCTTAATAAAAACTATCCCACAGCTGACGATTTCCTATTATCTGACGTCAAGAAGAAGTATAAAGAAACTTCCGGCATTGTTAAAACTTTTGACATACTGACAGAAGAAATAGAAGCTACGAAATTGTTTAGAATCTCACGAATTCATAACGTTTACCATGTAAAACGGTTATAAATAATGAGGGTAGAAATGAGGTTAGATCTAACCATCTACCCTAAAAATTATTTTTGCTGAATTCAGCACAAAATTCTGAGTAAAATGACATATGGCACGTGTCAAACCGTTGAGTTTTCACAAATTTTAAAAATTGCTGCGGAAAGTTCGTCAAAAAAGTGAAGGTTCCCGACGGTTTCAAACCGCCATACTTTACATGAAGATAGTTTACAATGTCAACTAAATATCATGTACGATAGAAACGGTTATGTAAAGTTTTGTCCTGATTCAGAACAAGACTTGTATTTTTTCAGAACAAGACTTGTATTTTTTCAAGACAAATCTTGTCCTGATTCAGAACAAGACTTGCACTTTTTAGTCAGTTTTTCTTGTAAAGTTCTCAAATTTGAGAACAATTGTCCTGATTCAAGACAAGTCTTGTATTTTTTCAGAACAAGTCTTGTATTTTTTCAAGACAAATCTTGTCCTGATTCAAGACAAGTCTTGCACTTTTTCAGGAAATCCTATCGTCCAACTTTACAAATGTCACTTTTTCAACATGATTGCATTTTGGTCGGGGAACAACTTTCTCTCAATTTTGTCACTTTTCACTCAGGGTGTGTGTCAGAAAATATCCAAAATCTTTATAGCCTCGTATCTCCTTCAATTCTTGACGGTTTGACATGTATGACACACCATTCAATTCAGAATTATGTGCTGAATCTTATGACCTTCATTTGTTCGTGACTTCTTTTCACATATGTAACCATGAATTTTTAACATTTCTTTAACACAGAAAAAATAAAGTTAGTTTTATTTTTATTTATTTTTTTATTTTGTATGTAAAGACAGTAATGTCAACATCAGAGAACACAACAACAGCTATAGTCCATGAAGCCATTAATGAAGAATACGAGTACATACAATATAACAAACAGTTACGTCTCATTCGTTCAGTCAAAGATGACATGTACCAAATGCAAAGTATAATGAATGCTCTTCGTTCTACAAAGCAAGCATATCATTGGTTTGAAAACCAACAGACAAAAGAACTTTTAGAAGAATTTCCTCATATGATTGCTTCCCTCGGAAAACCGAGAGAAGAGATTCCGTACGAAAATCGCAAGAATTTGGCTCCTGGTTTGAAAGGTTATTATGTTCATAGACTTTTAGTAAACGCTGTAGCAATGTGGGCTTCACCTCGTTATGCTTGTTATATTTTCATGATGTTAGATGAACTATATAAAGCAGAACGTGGAGAGATGGAAAAGAAACTTCAAGCAAAAGATGAAGTCATTGAATCCAAAGACAAAAGCATACAGAAAAGAATACCGCGTTCAGTACCAAAAGGAAAGGAAAAGAGTTATAAGTATATGATATATACTGAAGAGTTGGAGAAAGAAGAAGACAGAGATATGGTTATGTTGCATTTAGTCAGAAGAAACAACAAAAGCTTTTATGACCTTGCTAAGATTTACAAATCTGACAGAAACTGGTTCTATCGTGAAAACTTACCGATTTCAATGACACCGAATGAGCAAATAAAGGAAATTGTCAAAAGTACTCTTCCTCAAACACACTATGACATCAAAGGTTGCACAATACTTACATTCAAAGAAGACTTAACATTACTGAAGGAAAAAATAACAGAATATTTCGATAACTTCAAAGAGGAAGAATGAAGTCACGACAACATTAACGAAGAAGTCACGACAACATTAACGAAGAGAGAATGAGGTGAAAAAAGAGGTGAAAAAACGGGTGAGATCTCACCTCTTCACCAAAAATATATTTTTGTTCAAATAACGTCAGGGTCAATTTCTTCAACCATTTCACTTCCTTCGTCAATGTCAATTGAAGCTTCTTCAACCTTTGGTAAGAATTTCTGTATAACATCTTTGTTCGTTATTGTCTTCAGAGATGAAGGATAATATTTCACATTTGTTTCACCCTTCTTATATTCTTTCTGTTCGGAAAGATTCATAGCAATACTGAAGAAGTCAATGTTAGAGTTCTTTATAACAGTATAATGAGTATCTTTGACATTCACGAAGAAACTCTTTTGTTTCAAAACTACTGCTAACTCTTGTGAAGTATAACGTTTGCGGTCAATGACAATAGCTAATGGTCTGACATACTGACCAAACTTAGATTCTTTCACAAACTTCTTGTTAAAGATAACATTAACGTTTGAAGCACCATTGAACTCATTCTTGATGGCAGTAGCGAGAGCATTGTATGAAAAGAACTTGCAATCTTGCATGTGTTTCATTAAAATAAAAATATTAAATTATTTTGAAAAATAACTTAAAAAATCTAATCTAATTTTTTCAAAAAATATTTTTTTTATTTCCTACTAAAGATGTATCGGAAGTTGTCTAAGTTAGAACACTCGGAAATAAAACAACTTCTAACAGAAGCTAACATAGAAGTAGCAAAGCATTACGCAACAAACAAAAAAGCACTCGCTGACATCCTCAATGACTATAATGGTGCAATAAGTTATGATAGAATTCATGAGTTCATAAAGCCGCAACGCGGCGAGGACGAAGTCCATGCAAGAGCATTTCCTTTAAATGACGTTGCTATTGACTTATATCATAGACGTTCAGTACCTCATGAAGTAAGAAGAGAAATGTTTGACATAACAAATGCAAACGTTGGTGAAACACGAAAGAGAGACGACACACTGAAACAACAGAGAAGAGAGATGTTTAAAAGTGCTATAGAACAAGTTCGCAAAGCTAACGATGTCATTCGTTCCATTGACGACAAACCAAAGAAGGTGAGAGATGGTTAAAGAAGATGAAGAGAATAGGAAGAGAAATGTGAAGTCAGGCAATAGACTCATTGACTTTAACATCGAAGCTTTAGATGAACCAAACAGAGACTACTTACACAAACATTTCGGTAAGGTTTTCATGAGACTCTTAGAGAAAATTAAAATAAACTCACAACAGAGATGGATGGTATGTTATAAACTTGGTGGAAAGTATGAATGTTCTACGTTAAACCTCAATAATATTGGAACATTACTACATCAGCTCTTGAAGGAGAACTTTATATCAGAGATAGAAGCAAATGCTGCAGGTAAGTTAGTATGGTTAAGTCGTGTACTGAGGCACTGCGTTCCTCCGTACGCAATACTTGTGAATTTGACACTTTACAAAACCGTTAACGTATATTTTACAACACAAACGACAACATTAACTTAACCTTAAATATTTACAAAGCCGCCAACCACTTCACTTCACTAATGTAAAAAATAAACGTTCTCATTTACAAGAGTATGCTACTCCTCCCATTGCTGTGCTTCACACAATAGTTCATATTCTTCAGTATCGCTGCTGTCGCTCCAATCGTCAGAGTCAAAATCACTGTCAAAATAAATGTTAGTAAGTTTTGACAAAGCTAATGAAACACGCTTACCGTTTGTATCGTATGCTTGTATAAACTTTCCATTCTTCATTCCTTCATAAACGCTCAAACTAACTTTACCCTTTCTCCCTCGTATCTGATAGAATGTATTCTCACGCGGAACGAAGAACAAATTCTTGAACTCATGACCGTTGTAGTTTGTTATCTCAATAGTTTTCGTCATTTATATAAAAATTAATGATATCACCACCCTCACACGTATGAAAACATAGCACAAAAATAAATTTAGGTGAAGTGGTGAGATCTCACCTCTTTTTTCACCTGTTTTTTCACCCTGTTGAATTCATTGCTTTATAACTCTCTTCCTTGGTTTCTTTTTAGTTGCTTTCTTCACGTCTGTCTCCAACTTGACTGTCTTTCTTCTTCGCCGTAATGATACCAGTTACTTCCACCAGTCAATGGGTCAAATGGTCTTTCGTAAGGGTTTCCATACATTCCATAGGGACCATACGGAAGAACTACTGGTGGAGAAGAAACATTTTCTTTAGTTCCATCGACTCTATTTAAATGTATTGTTTCACCTTTCATCTGGTCATTAAAGTCTTTTGCGTGTTTTGCAAACTCATCGTCCTTTCCTAAAGCATTTTCTGACTCAGTCGCAACCAAATTGGATGCTTTATTTATGAGCCCTATTTTATTTAATCTTAACTTCTTTGCAACCCAGCCTCCAATCTTCCCTTTATTTGCATCTAATGTCTTCGAAACCCTTCCTCCACTCATTTTATTTACTGCGTCATAAGCTCCAAGTGCTTTTGCTCCAAATGCTAATGCTTTTGTTCCCATTGCGCCTAAAGCTGCCCAAGCTACCATTTACACCATATTAAAATCATCTCTCTTCAATATTATCTCATAAAAGTTCTCTTTACTGGAGAAAGTCAATGAAACATAAACATTCTCACGGGCTTCGCCCTCACCGCTTTGCGGTCTATCTAACTTCTTTCTTATCTCATCTATACGCTTCAAAATGTCTGAACAATTGCTAACATCTTCTACAACAGTTATTTCATCATGAATGACCTTCAAGAACAAGCTCATTTAATATGCTATTAAAATCATCTCAATAATGAGTCCATCCTTTCCGTCTTTGGTAGCACAACATCTTTCATTGAAGAAGGTTCGACAAGTCTTATGTTAAACTTACTGACAAAGTTTGTTATACTATAATGCTTCGGCGGCGAATACATGTAGTTTGAAAGACATAATATAGATTCTTCAGCAAATTCACTTATACTGGATTTTATAACAATGTTCTCACGAGACCAAATACCACCAATTGACAATCTTGTAAGCAATCCTGCTGAACCTTCAACTGTAAACGTCGATGGTAACATTCCACGAAGGTCATCTATTGACATCTTTGAGTCACTGAATTTAAATATTTTCTTAAAGCAATCGTCATTATCTAACCATGCAATAGCTTTGAAGTTTTCATTCGAATATACATCTGCTTCATTAAATGTAAAACCTGACTTCTTTGCAGAGATGACTTTAAAATCTATTGAGTTTGTTTCAAAATTATATGCTATGCTAACTTCTGAAGGTAATGGTGTCCTTCCGCAGTCAGTTGTTCTCTCACTACCGTTTGAAGCTTTGTGTTAAAAACTTTCATGTCATCTCCTGTGTCTAGTTCACATACACAGCAACAGGGAAAACTATCTTGCTTCTTTGTTTCATCATTATACCTCAAAACATTAAAGTTCTTCAATAATATTGTCTTCCTGCTGGAATACTTCGAACCTGTCTGATTTCAATAGCTTTCTCACCTCCTACATACTCTACCCAGTGCCTTGGATATTCATAAGTATACTGACTTTCTTGAATTTTGGTTGGTTTCATCATAACGTGTTCATAGTATATCTTTATACTCTTGTCAGTTAGACTCGGTGCTATGTTCTGAATATTTCTGACTTGCATTTTTAATGGAGATAAAATGAAGCATTTAATACATGACGTAGATGAAGACATGAATGAAACTACAGACAAACTTAACTCTTCTCTCATTCTTCCTTTCAGTAAGGACTATGAGTTCTGTTCAAATGGTGTTATTTCTATTGTGGAAAGATGGGTCAGGTAAGACATTTAACCTCATTCGTCATATACTCATAACAGAGCGTTTAGGAAATGACTCATATTATGACCAAATCATTATATCAGCAACTTCAGACTCTATGGACTCAACAGCGAAAACATTTATGTCAAAAGTTCAAGCCTCTGTCGTTAAAGTTCCAGACAGTGAACTCATTGAATTTCTTCAACGTTACATTCGACGTAAGAGAAAATATTATGCCATCGTAGAGTTCATACAGTCAGGAATGCAAAAGACTTCTGAGGAGATGGAAAGAATTATTGACAAACACCACTTACGTCAGTACTCAGGAGTTTACGATATGAAACGACTTACAAACTACATTCTATCAAAACTTTCAAAATACCCCTTCAAAAAGTATCCTTCAAATACTCTGCTCGTTTGCGACGACTTCGCCGGAAAAGGTTTAGTGTCAAAAGCCTGACTCACCATTAGCTAACATCATTACTAAAGTCAGACATTACCACTTAACTGTAGCAATACTTATGCAAACATGGAGGTTTTTAGCTTTAAACATAAAACGTCTCATAACTGACTTCGTTATCTTTCAAGGTTTCTCACGTTATGATATTGAACTCATTTGGAAACAGTCAGGTATAACATTACCTTTTGAAGAAATTTGGGAAGCATATAAGTCTCTCATCTCTCCTCGTTCATACCTTGAGATTCATATCATGACTAATACCATTAAAGTCAAAAATATTCCATGGGAACGACCAACATTGTTTTAAAGTTTAACCTTCAATTGACTGATGGTAAACAAATTCCATGCATCTCTGTCGCCATTTCTGTTAATATTTTTGCTGTCATTCATATCATCCACTTCCCATCCGTTAGCTTTTGAGGATATGCGTTAGAATAGCTGTTCTTAAATGAAGGCTTTTCACCTTTGAGAGCATAAACTCTATAACTTTCTGCATACTTTATGTTTGAACCTCCTGAGCCATCATTGACATAAATTTTTATAGGCTTCCACCCTTTGTTCATGTTCCTGCTTCTTCCCTTAGCTCTTTTGTTCAGTAGTTCTACATCTTTATACACAGCACCTGTCTCAGTGAATTCAACAATATTTTCATTCGTTAGCTTTACATTCAAACCCTTGTCGAGTATATTGTTCATTTCATACATATAAAAGGTTTTTATTCTATATGAAATGAGAAGCAAATCCATCTTAGCTGGTGCCGTTAATGTTCCAATTGAACCAACATCAAATGTTGACTCACGAACGACAAACAATATTGTCATAAAGAACTATAGTTCAGAGTGTTTGAAAGAACTAGAACCAGAACTTAAGTCGGTGAATTTAAACTCAGCTTCAAACGCTAACGCTACATCAGATGTTAAGTTAGAGTATCCACCACTGGACCAAATTCTTTCAAGAGAAGCCAACGACAACCCTTACACAAATGTTCAAACAAATCCTTCAGATAACGTAGACCATTACCTTCTTCAGTTATACCAAACAATTTTACTCAAAGACGATAAGAAGCTTTTGGTAAATCTTATAAGCAAGAACCAAATAATTCTAACAAAGGAGGACCTTGAAAATGTTATATCACGAATAACAGGAAAACAATGTGTCATTGACTATCTCGACCCTGAAATCGAATGCTGTGGTCAAACGCCACCATTCATGAAAATAGGTAACATCCGCATTATTGAAATACCAGGAACTACAGGAGTTGAGTTTAAGTATAAATATTCGAATGAATATACAAAACTTTCAACAGAATATAAACTTTGCTTGAAATATGTTTTAGTAAATTAAAGCAGTCAGGAGGGCTCTTTGAGCCCATCTTGGCGCTTTGCGCCGTTAGTCAAAAAAATTTCAAGTTAGCAATTTGTAATATCTATCCAAAACTTCTTCAACAGTATCGAACTCATCTTCATAATGCAAACCTAATCTTATTGACTTGGTGCAGTTCTCACTAACACAATATAGCGCTTTGCGCTCGGCGCCTTTGACGCCTTTTTCTGTTCTCTTGACTGACATAACTAACTCATTTGTTTCATCAAACAGCAACAACCAAAGTTCATGACCTAATACATAACATTCATACTTTATATTTTTAGCTCTGAGTTCTCTTGTAAGCTGTTGCATTTAATATTTTCTAAAAAGTCAACTTCAACAGTCATTCGCACTGGTGCCTTCAGTTCTACAGGCTCTCCTTGAAAGTCAACAAGTCTGAATTGCATGTCTTTCAAATTATGAGGACTAATGCGAACCCATTTACCTAAATGAGTTGCTATGACAGGAACGTTTGGAATGAACATTGAATTGACTGCATAACAGAAGGATTTATATTCTACTGAACCTTTACTATTAACTCCTGAAATACCTGTGACATTAGCTATTTTAGACTCAATGTATAAACAATTGCCATAACATACGTATGGAACAGATTTCATCTCAATCGTTTTGTCAATACTTTTCAAAGGAAATGTCATATGGTATGCACCCAGAAGCAATTGAACTCTATGACTCATTCGTGTTATCTTAAACTCCTTCATAACTGAACTTCAAAACTCCTGCAATAAGTTTAACATTCATTAAGTTTTCTTCGTTATCCTTGTTTATTGTAGTATTTATGAGAGCATTTAACACTCCAGCTAATGTTTCCATCTTATATTCTACATTATTGTGAAATCTTATTTCGTGCTTCTTTCCATCTATTTCAAGCTCCATGAAATCTGTTTCATCTGTTATAACGAATGAAGCGATAGTATTGAAGTCAACCATTCTGAATGCAAGCGCCTCATTCTGTAGACCTAAGTTTGTTTGTAGCTTTACTGTCCCGTATTCGTTTGGGTCTGTACTTTGCAAATAGAACAACATTTTATTCTATTAAAATATGAGTATAGCTGCATATGCGTATGAAGCTGACAGAGCTAAACGTTTATATTTTGGTCAATACTCTCTCACACTTACTGACAAATATATTGTTATTTCTGATGGAAATACTGAGAAATATATAACATGGAAGGACTATGAAAAGTTTGACCCTATTTTAACTCCATGTACTATGCCATTCATTGTAAATGGTGAAGTTGTCATGAAGAACGACACAACTGTTATATAGGTCTGTATATGAAGCTCTTGAAAGCATTCTTAACTTCAATCCTTCAGGGTTCGATACAAAAACAACTCCTTCGACAATGCCATTCATTGTAAATGGTGAAATTGTGTCAAAAAATAATGAAACAGTGTATAAGTCAGTGTATGAGGCGCTGAACTATATGCTTCATTTCAATCCTTCTGGTTTTGACCCACAAATAACTTCATGTACTATGCCATTCATTGTAAATGGTGAATCGTCATGAAGAACGACACAACTGTCTCAAAGTCTGTTCGTGATATTTTAGACTACTTGCTTCATTTGGGTCCTACAGGATTTGACCCATATACAACTCAATGTCAAGTACCATTCATAAACGACTCAGCAGAAATAAAACTCAAAACGTCAACAGTAGATGAAGCAATTGCTGACTCATTGACAAAACTTCTTGATATAATAATGAGAGGTTCAATACATTCAAAACAACATATGAAACCTTTAAGAAAAATTATGACGATTTCTTTAAAATTACATACATCGAGCCTTCTGCTCCTCAAACACCAGACTATGCATGTCTTAAAATAAAGGCTGCACGGACACAAGTTAGAACATTGACTTTTGACGGAGATAATATCGTTAGAGACGTTACACCTGGAGACACATTACTT